TAATTATACCAGTCGTACTTCAAATCACTGGCACCCCCACGGCCACCCCCTTTCTCTCCCCGATGACAGTAATTGATATTGCCATAAGAGAAAGCCCATGCATACGTCCAGTGCGGAGTTTAGTTATCTTAGATTTGTAAACATAAGCACAACTGAAGTAAAATTTGCTTGGAAGATGCAGATGGGAACACGGATGTTTGTCAATAAAAAATAGTTACTCATAAAACCAATCCATCAACAAAAAGTGAGCGTTGTGAATGTCACAAGAATGAAGGCCAATGCGTCCAAAACACTCCAGCCAATATGGTCACAAAAAGCAAAAGAACCAGATTCAATGGACAACAATAACTGATATTTCGTATTTCATCATTTGTTCTCACAATTGTGTTATTAATATTATTGATCTGAGTGCAGAACGTATTAAACCTACTTCAATGACTTAGTTTCTGAAGACGTACACACGGTCGATAATAGCGACCAAGCATGCAACAAAGCCAGAACAGAAAGCAAACACAATGACAGGTGCATTGGCGTGTGCCTCGAGGACTTCTGGGGGATTAACGTATTGTTTCCTTACGGATTAAGCATGCTAGGCCACATGTCAGTTACCGTTATGCAGATTTTTCATTTTAATGTTGAATGTATATTGATTATTAAGTACTGGGGAGATGTTAATAGTACATCAATCCTGCCCCCCCCCCCATTATCTGTATGTCAGTGGGGGGGGGGGGGCACAAGGGCTTGATGCAAGACTGGAGCTTTGTTGTTCCTGACGTAAGACCCCTCATAAGTCGTGGGTTAGTTGTGCAGCCTGGGCTTTGTTTCCGATTGTCTTGAAAGCGACAGCTTGCGTTCAAACCATGATTAGGATCTGCTCTTGATCAAGGCAGGTTTACAGACAATATATTTTGATCATAATTGTAGTATTTAATCAGGGTTGGTTTTGCTGTGTTCAAGAAAAGAATATTAAGTTTGTCTGGAGTCTAGTAGAAGATTATATTGTGAACAAGCTGATCTAACTGATCTTTCTCTTTTTGAAGATAAAAATGATAAAATGTCCAATAAATGTCAGACTTATGGCGCAGGACAAAATAATCAGATTTTCCCAATCATCATGTTGGCGAACTTTCACTGCCATGAAGTGAGGACACTAAAAAACAAAATAAAGTTTGGTTCAAAAACATGACTTTTTATTTGTATTTCAGCCTCGATTAGGTCCCAGATGACCGTTTGTTTGGCTATGTTTATTTAGTTGTGATTTGTATATAAGAATTCTTATTAGCTTGGGCAAATTCTACGACACTATTTGTAGGGTCTATTTGAGGAATTGTACAATGTAAACCCAAGCAGCTGAACTCGTGTGCCAGATAACTTAACTCGCATCCACGCGTGGGTATCAATGAAATCGACCATTGATTGACAGTTGAAATATACATGAAATGTACACACGATCCTGGGCGACCATTCAACGTGAAGTGTTGCTCGACAATAGAAATTGCAAAAATCAACAAATATAACCTTGGAAAAACAGTATTTACAATAGAAATCGAATCATGTTTTCTTTTGTTCGTTTTTTTACATTTGTAACTCCCATTGTTATGTTACCCCAAAGCCTTGTATTTACTATTTAGTGTATTTAACAGATGTATGTGGGCTTGGGGTTTACAAAGAGAATGGGATAGAATGAGATTTGAACCCAAAATATCTGTGATTGTCACCTGTTTAGGACAGAACTTATGTTCGCTCCAGTATAGAAAGGATATAGATGTCCCTCTGAGCCTCATGGGCCATCGGCGTCATGGGCCTCTAAAGAGGTCCAATGTTCAGGGGCACTCTTTGTCTAAGTATTGCTTGGAAAGGGAAAAATATGTCATATCTCTCACTATGGAAACATGGCCCGAAATGTGAACTGCTGTTTTCTGTTTCCAAACGATGGACACGGGCGTTCATTAATTTGTCAAAAGAAACTTCGTTTGATGGAAATAAGTATCCATGAAAGTTCATTCCGGCTAATGGTTCAGACAAAACAAAACATCTCTAGGCTATTTTGTTTTATTTCCATAATTGTGTTGTGATTTTGGATTATGACTATTTATTCAATTATGAATACTAATATTATTAGGTTTGTTTGCAGGCTTATCTTCACCCGAACTTGACCCAGCTAGTCCATCACAATTATGCTCATTGGATTTGATGGTGTACTTTTAATAGAAATAATCAAATGCCACTCACTCATCTCAAGTTTTTACGATTATAAAATGAATTCTTCTTGAAATGATATAAATAGCATAGTTGACTTTTTAAGTATTCGTTTTGATTTTTGTGATTAAACGACGGACTACTGTTGTATTCCATGCCCCGTGATAGTGCATTATTGGAGGATTTACGGGACCACGCCTGGGGACAAAGAAATATAAATCCCAACACAAGTTCATGAAAAGGCCTTCAGTTCCGCTTGTCCACCATCTTGAGACGCCCACAATCAAAGTTTAGTCACGATTGTATTGTTTTGCTCATTTGCAAGTTTGGACAGTCCCGACTCAGTCCCTTTCTTTGGAATTGGCTGGAATGCCTTAATTTGTGTTTGATCACAATTGTCTTTGGCAAGACATTTAATTGCACTAAAAGACATCATGATCTACGATCAAGAATCGAATTTCTTGATTGTGGTCACATATTTGAACAATTGTATACCAAAAAGATTGAATAGCTATCTTTTGTGATAAAGGATGGCGTCATGTTCCTTATCATGCCAGGGCAGGTTACCAGAGAAAGATTGCCATTTTCAATAGTTTGATTTCGTTTGTACATTATAATGTTTCCAAACAATAAATTTTAAATATTAGATGTTGGCTGATTTCACCTCCGTTCACTCTGCTTCCGTCGGCTTGAACGCATTGCAGACAAAGCGTGCAAAGATGGGCTGATTTTGGGATTGCATTATAAAATATTCACATGCACTTTAACATCGGCGCTTCCACTTGAACATTCCTCTGATTCAGTCCTCTTATTTTGGTCTCCAGCAGAGTGTAGATCACGGTCGCACTTTGTGGTAAATAGACTTGTTGATATCTATTATGGATTTACTATTTGGATATGAAGCTGTATAACAAAAGAATGTACAGAATCTTTGCAACCCGAATAGGCTAACGAGAGCTCTTTGAATTTGCACATCAAATATTGCCTACCATGGGCACACTTATAAGTTTGCGCAAAAATTCTCCAAGACGTGCACCTGGAGCAGAATTTGCATATCGGCCGTATCCCCAGCCCATCTTTCTCTAGAAGGCGGGGTTCATGCATTTTTTCATGCTCGTGTCACATGTGACATTCGACAATGACGGGGCATTATTGTCGCGTGGGATTGCTTTTTTATGGCCACGGATTCATTTCAGTTGATGCATCCCTTTGTTTAAAGATTTGATTGAGTTTATTCTATAAAATGTGCTCTATTGTTGGACCTTGCGAGCCTCATTTGCATATGTGGGTTATTGTCTAAACGCGTGTCTAATATTACATTCTTACTTGACAAATGAATAGAATGTGTTTTGGAATGAACTGATCGTTCGACATGAACGCGCATGACACCCATTATATTGTCATTGCTTTTGATCTAATTAATTTTAGTGAGACAACGTTAGCAGTAAAATAAAAGTTATTCCACTGCAGCAGTGACTTTGTTGTGGAAGCTGGAGAATTTTGCAAAAATATGACAATAGTCATCCTACGCTGATGAGCGCAGATTTTGTTTGCCGTACACACGAGTGACACGAGGCTATTATATCTGACGAAATTATTGGTCAAACGAATGCATAGGGAACCTACATCCTTATACTCTCAAATTTTTGTTTTGTGAGAAGCAATAAATGCGTAGAAGAAAACTGATTGTTTTTTGCTGACTGATACTGCGATACTTTGAGACATGTCCCATCAGACACCCTTAGATATTGGTACGTCCCTGGGAAACGACGACCCTCCTCAGACAACCCCTGGACTTGGCCCTGTTGAAATATTGACCCATCGCTGGTCCAGTGTCATCCTGGCACATGTTTCATCATGTGAGAGACATATAACCACGTGGTTTATATACGACTACTACTGTAATCTTACATCCCGTGTCATGCCCTGGGAATTCACTTGACACCGCTAGACATCATTTTTGTCTTAAAAATCGTTGCTATTATCGGAGTGGCCTTTTCGTCAACATAAAGCAAAGCCATAATACGGATCATGTGTTTTGAATAGAAATTGTAAACTCGTTTTTTAAGTTGTAGTGAGTTTTTGCAATTGTAATACCGAACGCCGTCTGGTGAATCGTGGGAGAAAATTTTGAGCGGGAAATATTTTACAACGCGCAGATAACACAAGATATAACCATTATTAGTGTGATGGCTTATATATATATAAATATTAGAGATATGCACCAATAATGATGTATCGATGTGTAACATATTGTCTCATAATTTGGCATATAACCAGTTTCAGTGAATCAAAAGCAGAGCCAGGCGCTATAATTCCTTTAAATCTAGGAATATAGAGAAATACAACAAAACATTTGTAATGATTTGTGACTACACATTCTGAGCACTTTAACTTTGTTTTTTGGCTCTTCGTACCGTTTTTATTTCTATAATGACGCAAACATTAGGCCGCATTTAAAAACATTTTGGATTTGTGCTACCCTCATTTGAATAAATGTGTCATTTGATTCTAAACAGACAAGAAAAAATAAAAGTACAACTTTCTGAGTTTTTACAACTTTCCGAACTTTGTAGTAAAACGTAAGGGTGCGGTTGTTTTCGTAAACAGCGTCAATGTCACTTTAGTGATTTCCTATTGGTCAGTTTATTTGAACAAACTAGTTTATGTGCGTTAAGGGTTGTAGGCTTTAATTCGAGTTGACCATATGTCGAACTTTACTAGCTTATCTCTCAAGCTGGCACACATACGCGCCAGGCCGACACCAATACTCCGCCTTACTCATGCCACCAGACGTCAATCAAATTTTAGACCAATCAAAGCACCTCGATAATTCTCTCCGTGAAGAAATCAATTGACTACAAATAGTCGCCATTAGAGTAGAAGTTTGTAGACCAAGAAGACGTGTTCGCTGGATATTAAATTAGAATTACTTCAAAAATCGAATAGAAATGTCAACCAGGGTAGATAGTCCGCTACTGGGAAGAATGGATATATTGAATGCAACAAGACCTAGGAGTGTACGTAGAGCTTTATTCGGACCTGTGGATCACGAACAAGTAAAGTCGGATTTGCAGCGTTTGAAGGCTGAACAATCAAAAGTTGACCAAGAAAAATGGAACTTTGATTTTACAGAGGAAAAACCTCTGCCAGGAGCTTATAAATGGGTTCCCATTGATCAACATGATAATTCTGACGACGAAGACAAAGACAATGTTGTAATAACAACACACGTTAGGTTACAACACAGCCCTGTTTCAGAATCCAGGGAAGATGATCAAGAACATTACATAACAGTCAAAGATGGAGAATCATCAAATAGCCAAGAAACACCATCAACTTGTAGGAAAAGTGCTGTACCTTCAAGTATAGATATAACTGCCAAATCTACTCAACCTAAAATAAATGGTAAGTTTATAGGTCATTAAATTGTAATATCTAAGTTAGTAATGGATAGTTCGAATATTGCAATGTCATACATTAGGTCAGGTATAATGTAAAATAAAGTATAATATGTTGAACGATAATACATTCATATTTCAGGAATTTTATACTTGTTGGTAAGTGTCGAAATATGAAAATAAGCATTCTAGGTATAGAGTCTTAGGGATGAAGTGGAATGGTAACATTTGAAGATGAATCCCCAAAACTGATTTTAATTTTGACTTGAAGTTTTGTTCATGTTTGAATTCTGATCATAATGGTCCAAGTTTCAGTTTTTCATCTTTGTATTCCACATTTGACATGTTTATAACAGCCCTGGTAAACTGTATTTGTCAATTTATCACAACATGCCAGCTATATTCGTATATGTTGCATGATGGCTTTGAATACAGAATAGGTGTTAATTGGATAGAGATGCTGAATGTTCAAATGTAGCAGTTCAGTTCCTGACACTCGCACTATGGAATTACATGATATCGATATTAATATGTAGCTAAACATGTGCATCTGTTTCTACAAATATTTCTAATTGTTTTGTTCAACTTTATTTATAGGATGTATATTAACAAGTTGACTATTTTTAAAATGCAATTTTCACCATAGTCGAATTTGTTGTTAATATAGTCGTCATTATCAAAAATAGAAGTGATATCAGTGTTTTGCCGAGGCTTGCCAGTTATTATCAGTGAATCAATATAAATGCTGGGTTGAAACAATTTATCCAATAAGCTATATAAACAGTCCATTGACGTAGCGAGGTCACAATAAAACAAGCCTTAACTTGCCAGTATTTTAAGTGTTCGAATGGCGGCTTATCTCACTATTTTCTTGAAATCATATTTCTCTTCCTTTACACTGTCTTATCTCAAAATATGTCAAGGATCGTTTGATAAGTTACACGATTTTTGAAATCTGTTCAAGATGAAGTAATTTTAAAATCGCGATTGTGATAAATGTAAAGGCTATTGAGATAGTGTTGTTTTGTATTTTAAATGGAAGGTAACGGATGCTATTGCGGTGAAACAATACAGGTTCTTATGATCACCACATGTTACCAAGCCTTTGACAATATCAATCAAAAATATTAATCAATACTTTTTGTTTTCCAATTTGTAAAGCAGTGGATTCCCACAGAATACTCCCAAATGCCACATTCAAATTTAACCGTTTGGTGCATTTGCCTTTGATAGTGCCAACTGCCAACTATTTGTTATGCAAATATACTGTTAATTAGACAATAAAGCATCTTATTAATGATGAATGTTAATGAAACAGCTGATGCCATGGTCAAATAACATAATTAGAGAAACTAGGTTGTATTGATTAACCCTATAATAGCCACTTTTATTTATGTCATATTAACCCTTTCAGATCTTCCAAGTTCCATGAAAGTACATTTTAGATGATTTTGATAATTTATATCATTGAGAAAATCTTAAGGATGTCTGAGTCCTGGTTTACTTTGATTATTTATCAAGTACAGAATGTGTACCAAGTAACATTGACATCTAGTCAGATTTCCTAGACATTTTAAGTAAGATGCAAGATAATGGCAAATAACTATGATGTACTAACAAAAACAACCCCTTCATTTGGCACCCTTTATCATTAATATAAATACATTAATTAATATATATATGCTCTTCTACGTTTATTCATTTGTTTATAAATTTTATTCCAGAAATATTTAGATCCAAGAAAAGGAAATGTGATGAAATCACTGCCTCCAGTTCGCCAAAGCAACAAAAATTAAAACATACTTCATCTACCAGTCAGACTGCCCCAAGCTCATCAGACAGTACTGCTGTTTAAACATTAGTATCCTAGATACTTATTTATTTATTTAAAAGGTAAGTTATATTTCTAATACCATATTCAGTTCAGGATACCTTTATCGATCAAGATAGAAATATTACTTAATTTTTGTAAATATTCAAAAATTAAAACCATATGAAATTTTCTATAGGTTGTTATGTTAACTTACAATTACATTTAAACAGAATAGAGTATTCCTTATTGAGTTCCCGACATCAATCAATGAGTCTAAGACAATGGTTTTACTTTTTGTGAATATTTTTTGTATGAACTAGCTAATATGTATGTATACCCTTTGTATCTGTGACACTTTTTGTGTCTGTGTAGTAAGTGTCAGATAAAAACTAGGCATGATGTTTGCTAAATATATTTAACATTTTTGTTGACAATATTTACTGTATCCATCTCATGATTTGAAGATGTCCAAACATGGAGAAAGTATCGTAACATATGTTTTGTTTCAACCTTGTGATGTTTATAATTGTATCAAATGGCCATTCATTGAGATAATAACTGTGGTTGCTATGGTGATATATGTTATCTAATCAAACCTGTTATTTGCTATACAAACACATATTCTGATTAAAGTTGTTACTCATTGGTCAGATAATTTCGAAAATTATTCAATATGGAGACGATAATTTCATGTTCAAAAGCTGTTATCTTTTTTTTCTTTTATAAATGCCCGAAAATTGCTAAATGGTAATGAATTATTAGGTGCCTGGTAAAAAGTGGCAGATATCTTCCGATGCATTGATTTAAAGAGACCTTGGCTCATTAATATAATACTCCCATCAATTCTTGTTGATGGGTTTCACTAAATAATACAACCCATTGCTGGAATAAATTAAAATTCTCCAGGCAATAGCTGAATATTCCCAGCATTGTAGTGTTCAGATTGACTTTTTATCAAGGTTTTAATCTTTTAATGGGCTTTAATGTAATATTAAACTGAGTTTAGTTGTGAGAAAGTGATACTGTAAAGACAGATACTGAATCTGTACTCAGAAAGTGTTTCACACCTACTTAAAATTAGTCCCAATTCACATTTAAAAATAACCAATGATGCTTAAATAATAGAGGACTCAATGTTGACCCTTGCATGACTCATTTGGATGCATATGTCATCAATATTAGGCCCTGGTATCAAAACATCTTGCTTCTTATAGTATCTTGATTAGCAGTCTTCCGTGCCTTTATATTTTTATTTATTTTGTTGATCTGCCAATGTTGTCTTAGGGGAAAAAATGTCGAAATTGATGCAGTGTTGCCAAAAATATTAATTGAAATAATTATTATTGTCTCCATGTACATTTGTGCAGTTCGATTTGAAATGTTTCCAAAAATGAATTAATTTTATCAAATCATTATGTCTGACTTTGAGAAAACCTTTGATCAGCAGTAAATTGGAATGGTCACATCCTTGTCTAATTAAAATCTAATCCCATTATAAAGATACAATTTCACAATTATCATAATTACAATTATGTAGAGCTGATCACTGATCAAAGTTTCATCTGGAGTGGGATCATTATAGATTAGATGATCGAGATCAAAGGCTTGCATGTAATCAAGATTTTTGGATCAGTTGGATATCAGGTGGTTGAAATTAGTCCATTATCTCTAAATGGCTAGCTGAGTTGTCACCTTTCCTAGATAACAATTGAGCAGTCTCCTTATACATTTTGAGATGTAACTTACCTGTTATTATCCTATGGTGATTATTAGCCCCAATGAGCTTACCTGGAGAAAACTTCAAAGGGAAGATAAGAATATTTACAGGTGAATTCAATTAACAGTCATGAAAATTCAGAATATATTCACAGCACAGTGGTAAACGTTTCAATTTGCAATTCTAAGTGGCCTCAATCGCAATCCAAGTATAAACATGTTCAAAAACAGTTTGCTTTGTTCTGACAATCTGGACCTTTGATCACGAAACATTTAGCCTTTGATCTTTACCTGGCTTAATTAAGATTACCTGTACCATTGTCATGGTCAGGTGTAACTAAATATCCTGCTTTGTGCAGGTAAGTGAAAATGACAGATGGAAAACCAGGTAAACAAATCAAATTGTAAAACTTTTGATCATTATCATCAGCATTTGGTTTGCATTATGATCAAGATTATTTTGAAACCATTATCGAGGAGATTATTTTAGCATCTAGTGAGAAACAGATGGTGTATTCGTTTTTGTAAATAGGAGTCATGGTGTATTACACAACATTATTTATGACTTATGGCCTTTCTGTGGACCAGATGGGCTTTATGCTCTTTTTGTTAGTAATGCTTGTTAGTATTTGGTCATCAATTCTGGTCCACCACTCTTTTTCCTGGATTCTATACTATAATGATGTCATTGTGTAAGGTTGTTTGGTTCTGGCAGCTGAATAAACAACTGCTACCGAACTTGTGGTCACTGTTTGAAAGCATGGCTTTTACATTTATTGGTCTTGCCTGGGCCGGAATAATCACTACTATAAACATTGTAGTAGAATATTGTTTTGGTCATGTGATCATTGATATTAGAGCCTATAGTAAGTTTAAACGCTTGGTTTTACAATAAATTCAAATTGGATTTTTGGGTATCCCAAAGGTTGTTCAAATCCAATATTTGAGACAAATCATGCTGATTGTTCTGACTTAACACATCTTTTCAAGGCTTCTATTTATTGACCTTAATACATTGACAAGATTGTTCCGAGCTAAAACAACATCCATCTAAAATAATTATGATTTATGTGGATTAAAAACCCAGCTGTAATGAATTGATTTTCAAAGTGCAGCCTTATTTTGTTGACTTGTTGATATCTTCATGGCCACTGGTTGAACTCTCTTTATATGGCTTACTGCCCATTTTTACAAGTGACTTATCACCCGACCCCAGAATTGGCTGAAGCTCAACCGACGCTACATTCAAACCATCATATGATGCAATTCAAAATCTTACATATACATGGCACGTGTGTCTTATGTAAAGGGATTCTTTTATTTTGAATTATTGATGACCCTTTTAGATTACCCCTGCAAAGACTTGTGACATGCCACTGATGATTAGATAAGATAGGTTGAATTTAAGAAAATTGATAATTGCTTGTAATAACTGTTAAAGCATATGAAGAACTTTTCATTTATGAGCCATGTAGTTTAAACTGTGCTGATTTAAATTCGTGACAATATTTTTAGTGGGATATCGTGGATGTAGGGATAATATTTTCCAGTTATATTTAGGTGCAATCACTATTCTGACATATTGGCACATCCTGTATAAGCATCACCTTAAGAAGGTGAACATGAAAGGTGAACCAGCGGTCAGATATTATTTATGGAGAATTGTAATGTTACATCTCAC